GAGTTATTCATTTTGATCTTAATTTGATTCGACATCTTAATACAACAATTTTGAATACACGGTAAGAATTATTGTCTACATTGCACTTCATTTGGGTATTTCGTCATGTGCAAGAAACGTGCTTGTTGATAGAGGCAGCTGCCAAGTAGCCCCGGCTAGCCTAACAATACAGAACGTCCAGCCATTCATGACCTGTCTCGGTTCGACATTGATATGTAGACAAAACGTCCGAACTGATTGTATCCCTGTATGTCACAAAGCGAATTACTACTCCTAAGTAGGAACGACATAATTTCGTACGTACAATAGCATAACAGGCCGCTGTGATTTAGTCACTGTGTGCAAGCGCATGTGGACGGTCGCGGGCGAACGCTAGGATGTACGCGTGTATTTTATTCTGCGGCAAAATACTCGAGAGGGAAATGGCAGCAGAATTCTACACGCCGTATGATTGTTGCCAGACGATATTCTCAACAGACTTGTGCGATCGCGACCGATCATTACATCCTATACAAGACGATGGTAGCATTGCACAGACGTCGCGCTCACGTACACAAATAAGTTATTGTGTGATCGAAAATAACAACCGATATCCAATTTTCGCTGAACGAAAACGCACTCCGTCGTCTCGCCAGGCGAAATCTGCTCTTGTAATTGATTTTATGCCTTTCATTGAGAAACCTCCTTCTGAGAACATGAAGCAGGCGGCAACCTTCGTATACAGACGAGCGATAGACGCGGACGAGACGAGACGCGACGCCGACCAGGACGAGGAACGGTGAAGCATGTTTGCAAAATATAAACTCGACATGCAGAGAAAGAACGGTTGAGAGCAGTGTGCGCGTGCAAGTAGCAAACGCACTCCATGCCTCTGCGGATGCGTAGCAGCAGGTCGGATCTGCGTCCGTTGCCGACAACGCGCGGGACGCGGGCAATCTGAAGCACTCGTCATATAGCGTGACGTGCTGAGAAAGATGAGAAAAAGAGAGAGAAGATTCAAAGGTACACACAGGTGCCGATGCTATTGTCGAGCATGTAATTCCAATATACATAGCAAGCATTACAGCCGGTGCGTCTACGGACGGAAGAAAACTAGACGCGCGACGGAAAGACAGTATTCTTTCTCTGTCAGCCTCTAAGATCGTGACAGGTAAATAAGGCCCAAAACATGATTCTGACAAGTAAACACTTGCGATGGCATTTGAATCCCCAGTTTTTCTGTGACGTATACTGGCAGGAGCCCGCATAAATCGAGCAAATAGAAAATAATTGCGCACGTCTGGTCGACCTTTCCACATGCGCGTTCGCTGTTGATCGTAGAGCTTACGCGGCCGTCGGCTGCTGACAGTTTTGCGTCTATTGTTTGCGGGCCGGCGCTGCCACACATGTCGCTGCACGCGAGGAGCAGTGCTGCGCTCTATACGTTACTACTAAGCCTAATTTCAAACAAAGAAACTAATGACAAAATTGCAAGTGTTTATTTTATGAATTTTGCGATTCACGTGCGGCACACATGCCGGCGACGCGCAGGCCCGAGTCTACAGTATATACAGAGAGAACCCTATGTGTCGTTTTCGTCATCGCATAGCGGCCCGCCTTTCGCATGACTAACCGCGCCAAATCGTTTCGGGCCCTCTTTACACGTTCCCGTGCCCCCTCCCACCTTTAGACAGTGTGTAGGTAATAGTGCAGAACGTGGCGCATTTGCCTACGCAAGTGTTTCGCATAGTTTCTGCGGTTTATTTGCCCGTGCTATATACGCTGTACTACACACCAGACGCGGATGTACGCATGCTCCCCGGCCGAGCGGTCATTGTCCGACCGCCTATAAAATAGTTACTCTTGTTGTTACACCTAATAAACTATACACGCAAAGACAAAAGTTTACCTTCGAGCATGTCGTAAAAACTACATGAATCTGTTGGCAAACCGGCGTGAAGCGAACAAGAAACAAAGAACCGTACGCTTGCTATTATTGCGTAATTATATGCGCGTGTACAGAAATCCAATTTATCGCACTATTCTTGCGTTGATTTTATATATTATAATATTGTATGGACTAAACGTATACCTGTTTGCCGAATAGAATTTCCGTTGTAGAAAGGTGGATGGGGTATAGTTAATATAATCAAATAAGCAGCGCCAATCAATAGGTTCATGTGGCGCCGTGTATTCGTATATATATACTCTCATCCAGAGAGAGAGAGAGAGAGAGAGAGTTCCATGAGACTTATTAAAAATCATTAATAATACGGGTGCTAACAAATAAAATAGAAAATCACCGATATAATTTTATCTGATTGCTCGGCATTTTGTTTAAATATTACGACACCATACTGAATAACTATGCTATATTTTATCTAAGCCGTATATGTAGCTACTCATCACGCACCTCACAACTTTCTTTTATTATTTATTATATATTTGCTTTGTTAAATAATCCTAATTCTGTAACCATAATATTCAGTTATTAAAATGTGTTTTACCTGCTGTAGCATGCTCAAATAGGAATGAAATACAACTTAACGTATCGGTAAACCTATGCCGTCAAGTCGTTGATCCTAACTGACGCGCGCAAAGAATATGAAGACATTCAAATAATAGCGTATCACGCTAATTCCGAGTAACTTGTCGATCATCCCGCGTAGGATTATTTGTTGTAGGCGTGGCGCGTCGCATTTCCAACGCAACACCTAACCAGAGAATTAACAGCTGCTGTATATGCTTTGCTGTTAGAAGTCCTAGGGTTTAATAAATTTTATTTTTTTAAACTCCAACCACGCTGCTTCTACATTTAATCGGCAGCACAGAAGCGACATTGCAAGTCAGACTGGTGTCAATAAAATGTCCTCGTTACGCCATGTTTTCTAATAAAGAGTGACCGATACCCAAAGATCAAAGCAACAGGGTGTGGGGAATAGCATGTATTTTTTCTGTTGTATTTATTGTTGATACTATTTTTGGTGTTTTTATTGCGTCATATTGTTAGAAAATCGCTTTAACGTCTCACAGATTCAATTTTATTACAAATTGAAACTATAAGAATATATACGTCGAAACAGTGATAAAGATTATACTTTCCCATACTAACTGTTACATCAGCTTATACGAAAACGTCATTATTCTGAGCTATAACTATCAAGAATTTTATTATGTATTCTAATTTTATATTATATTATTATTTTATAATTATAATAATAATAATTAATATTTTATTTTTATTGATATTTTTAACATGAGTTATTCATTTTGATCTTAATTTGATTCGACATCTTAATACAACAATTTTGAATACACGGTAAGAATTATTGTCTACATTGCACTTCATTTGGCGAACGACGGAGCTACGTGGCAAAGCAGAAGGAGATATGTTTTTTCCATGCATGATGCCAGAGATTCGTCAGCGGAGGGGGGGGGCCCGGGCGGGCCGGGGCCGGGGCCGGCGGCGGGCGGCGCTGGCGAAGGGGCCGCCGATGGGGAACAGAATGAGTGTCTCAGTTCCAATTACTCTGACCGGCGCTGGAACTGCTACCAGCGGCTCGCCATTCCTTTCGTAAAATTCTGCTTCACAGGTAAGCCCACACTGCATAGACTGCATGACGTGGTAAACAACAACTACAGGCGGCTACACGCTACACACATGGCCCGCACAGCGAAATTTGAAACGCGTGATAACAACACCCATTGCCCACACCACAGCTACGACACATAAGCACACACGTGTATCAGCACGGTGTAGTGCTACACGACAGCTATGTCGTGTGTGTACTCGGTGTGTGATGCTCGTCGTGTGACTGGAGCGTTGTACAGCATCAGCTACACGTCCGTGCCCACACACACACACAGCGACCACGACACTGTGTGTGCACCACACACACACACACACAACACTGTTGACACTGTATGCACATACGTGTACACGACAACACACACACTGGTAGTGTCGTGTGTGTGTACGTGTGTGACACGTGGGACTGACTACTATCTACAGCGCCCACCACACAATCTACGGACCACGTCAGCGACACACACACTGTTGTGATGGCGAGCGGTTAGCGACTGAATACACTACGAGTCGTACCCACCCCACACACACCACACACACACACACACACACGCAAACGGATACACACACCACCACACACAGACGGGGGCACACCACACAACCACACAGCACCGACGTTACACAACACCCACCAACGTCTCCAGGCAATGGCCATTTGTAGGATATAGGGTTATCAGATAGGGTCAGACAAAACAAATGAACGGAACGGATACGAGAACGAACAGACAGGACAGACAGACAGACAGAAGCCACATGCGAATGGAATCAGGGGAAGGACCCCCAAAAATATACCAACAATACACAACACATGGCCGGCAAACACGCACCGTAATTCTGCAAAATCACCAATGAACATAGCAGATATCTGAGCTCATGCAATTTAAAGGGCTTAATAAGTGAGTATGACAAATGGTACAGACGTCAAATTTTTTACTCCAGTTTAGTCCATAAATATAGATAAAAAATGGGATATTTCTATGTGAGTTAAAAAAATCAAGAATGAGTTCGAAAAATGAGTCTGTAATTAGGGACACCCCCCTTTGCGATCACAAAGTTAACTGCCTCTCACATTCATGCCACGGCAAAGTCTACACTTAACTCACGTGTTGTTGTCACCAGAAGCGAGATCCATTATTTAAATTTAAATTAAATTTTAGTTCAAATAAAATTTCAATCTAAATCTTAAGAGTTTGCATGAGGTGTGATAAATTGCAGCATGCAACTGATGACCAGAGTTAATGCGTGAGTACAAAAGATATATCATTACTAGTAAGTACAAGAGTAACATTTTATGTCTTTATATCGTAGTGACGAATAGCCGTGCTACTTTTAATAGAACACTGATGGCTAAATTAAAAATCCATATGATACAATAAAAAAATGACTGTGGACTACAGAGGAAAAAACGAACATTATTTTAGTTTATTATTACACATGAAATAGGTTATAAGTCTGTTATCGTACTTTGCCAAGGACCGGTCTCCACTCTGGACATGTGAACAGACATCATAAAAACACACAACACACCACACACACACACACACACACACCACACACACACACACACACACACACACACAACACACACACCACACAGCACAACACACACACACACACACACACACTCACACACAACACACACACACACACAAACACACACACACACACAACACACACACACACACACACAACACCCACACACACACACAACACACACCACACACACACAACACACACACACACACACACACACACACACACACACACGCACACAACACAAACACACACATATTATT